ACCTGAGCCTCGGCAGCTGGAGCTGAAGCCGGACCATGCGAATCCTCGGTACCAGCTTCAACAGGAGTAGCAGCCAGAGCAGGACGTGGAGTACCCGGTGGCGAGTCAAACAACGAACGCCAGGTCGGAATAAGCTCGGTTGAATCGAGAGACGGGTCAACGAGCACGCTTCGGTACACATCCACGAAACGCGTACCACGAGGATTGAAGAACTCCGGATTACGCTGGCACGGGAAGTACGTGGTGTTGTACGGGTGCTGATGCGGCGCATTCATCCATCCAGTACGCCATGGCTGACGAGCGTCGAGAGCCGGAACTTCGGAAAGCTAGTCAGATGTCTGAGGTGCGAATGACAAGTTTTCAATGGGGTACCACGGCTTAGACGGCTCCAAAAGCAACTCGGGACGAATGAATGACACGCCGGAAGCACTAGATGAAACCGAGTCACGACTCCACGCCATATACTGCTCACGGTACTTGTTACGAAGACGATCGGCACGACGATCGCGCTCACTGAAGAGCTTCTTTAACATAGCTCTCAGTTCCTTCAAGCGTTCCTTGTCGTGGCCAACCTTTTTAGCTTCTTCAGCGAGACCTCGTTCAATACCAGCTAACGGAAGCCAGTGGAGACGCTCCCACAACGCGAACCCGAGGTCACCTTGCTTACCGCCGTCACCCCGAAGGTTCGCCCAGATCATCTTGAGACGGGTCTCAATCGGGGCACGCTTGGAGATGGGGACGCTTGGTTTGAAGTCGACAGTGTCAAAGAGGCAAGCTTGAAGAGGATAAAGCTGCCGAAGCTGCTGGTACGGGTGAACAGGATGCGAATAATCAAAGAACGCTTGGAGACCCTCCAACGTTGTACGCACGGTCACCTCACCAGCTGGTTCAGGAAGCGTTAAGCTCAGGAGTCGCTCGAAGCACTACTTGGCGCCTGCATCGGTAAACTCCATGTCCACATACGGAAGAACCCACGGTGACAGGGTGGACGAAGCCGGCACCGAAGAGCGAGTACCAGATAACACTCGGTGAGGCAACGGCTCAACCGACGGTGCACCACCACGACGCGGCACCGAAGTATAGGTTGCCGTAATCATGCGTCCAGGTCCAGCATCGAGAGTCCAAATAGACGGACGAGGAGACACTGGAACAGGAAGAGAAGATGCTGGTGCCGGAGGACTTGCTGGTGGCGAAGGAGGCGGGCCGGCAACGATGATTGGGGAAGTCATCATCGGCGAAGGATTTGGCCGAGGTGGAGTCGGAGGACGAGCTGGGCCAAGATTACTCCAGTTCCTGTTTGAATCTTCAACATCTTCGTCATCGAGTATGCTTGAATGATCGGTGGGGGGCGGAACATCACCGCTACCACTGGGAACATCAGGAGAGTCATCCACCGAAGATTCATTGTCATCCACGTCATCTCCATAGTCGTCATCAGCATTCCCATCGTCATCAATCTCCATCGAAAGGCCAGGCGAAGACACGCTTGGTACATCAGTCGTGGGAACAGTCGGATCCGACTTCGAAGACGCGGAAGCTAGTGGAGCAGCCTCAACAGGGGCAGACCCTGCTGTAGAAACCACTCCCGAGACTTCAACTGCCTTGGATGTCGCGGCAGACGCCGAAGCAGACTTGCCTTGTGGGACAGTCTGGTTTGACTCTTCATCTTCGTCACTCGAGCCAAACATGAGCCGCATTTCCTCGGCCTCGCGCAGAGCCTCTTCAGCAGCACGTATGTCGGCTGGAGAAGGTGAAATCGTTGAAGCTGGTGACTTGGCCACATCGTGTGGACCCTGAGGCGGGGGCGAAGGCGCGTCAGGAGAGACAGGAACATCGTCGTGATCCTCAGGGTTCACGTCCTTACCAGAAGGCTGTGTAGCAGTTTCTACCCCTCACCAACTTCAACCAATGCTCTGCACCCGACCTAGCACTGCCGCTGCTCTTTTTTTCATTATCTGTGCCAACGAGGTTGCGAACAACTAGCTTCGTCGACAGCACCGCGCTACCGCTCGACCACGACGCGATAGCAGGAGGAGGAATGGCGGCAGCATGTGCAGGCGTCTCGAAAAGTGGCTGAAGCGGCAAAAGCCAAGAAGATATCGGAGGAGGGGATCGAACCCTCGATCTTGAGCGTGTTAAGCTCACGTCCTAACCACTAGACGACACCGACGCTCCACACTCAACACACCCATCGCATCACAAATTTGGCGCACACACCTGCGCCTCTAACCTTTCCGACACCACTTGTCCTGGCATCCTATGCGCGCCCCCACGCCAGCCCCTCGCCGCATCGGGAGACCCCAACCATCACAGCGTGGCAACCGCCGGCCCACCTCAGCTACGGATCGGGTGTACTTCTAGTTACGCCATGTCGAGGCGCGATAGTTACTCAAACCAGAGTCCATTTGGCTACTGGCGCATGCTTGCGTCTCAGGTGCGGTCCATACACAAACAAGGGCGCATACGGCGTCCCTTCAGTAGTAAAATATCGACGAATGCATAGGACCGAGCTGTGG